GTCAGTCTTTCTGTTCATGTTCACGGTATGAGCTGTTCAACTTACCGTTAGCCAGATTGCCTTCAAAGATAATCTGTAGCGCATTGTCCGTCCCGGTCAAGATCCCATATAGATGCTCACCAGCCTTCTTCACCAGCTTCTGCGTCGGCTCGTCATCTGCCTCGCGCAAGACATCCTCAATGCTCAAATGCCCTAATCCTCGGGACTCCAATGTATACTTCTCCCTATTTGCACGGACCTTGCGTAGGAAGTCCACGTACTTGGTCAGGTGGTTGTCAAACGTTACTGGCTCGCCGTTCTCGATCTTATCCAGCGCTTGCTCGATGAAAAAAAGTGCAATGGCGTCCGCGCGGTCGACAGCCTCAGCGTCCTTGGGGTCAGGAGAGAACTGCGGGTCGCGCGCGAAGAGCGCCTTCAAGTATGTCTCTGTCTCGGCTTTGCTCAGCAGCGAGAGATCGGGCTTGAAATCAATGCCGTACGAGAAACGGCTTGCACCATCATCGTCACGTGTGCTGCTGCCCGCGCCAGCGATGACGGTTCCACGCTCACCCTTGGCAACGATAACAGGCTCGCCCGTTTCCGCAAGCAACGTACTGGCATCCCACTCAAACTCCCTGAACGTGCGAGCCACCTCCTTCGTCGCGACATGAAGCAGCGGGTTATCAGGTAGCGTGAACAGCTTGTGCGACACCCACAAGTCCTTGAGGTTGCTGAACATGAGCGTTGGGATCGGTTCCCACCCACCCATACTCAGCGAGACAAAGCCCACGTGGAATACAGAGTCGAACGTTGTGGGGTGGATGACACACGGGTCCTCGGCGGCATACGGCATACTCTTCGCATAGTCCCGAAGCGCAAGAGTGCCAGTTGCACATCCGTTGCGCGAGTACTTAATGTCCCGCAAGCCTTGGAAGTACGGACCATAGTCGAATCCAGATTTTTTACTCAAATTCTCGTACAGCTGGGCGCTCTGCACACTCAACGTGCATTGCTTCGCCGCGCTTGCGTGCTCCTCGCCCACAGCTTTCTCCCATCTAGCTTTACGCGAGGTTGTCTCTGGAGAAGGCTCACTTTCCTCAAGCTCGACGCGAATGCTGCCGAATGCACACTCAATCCACTCATTCCCACCGAGAGTGAAGACACGCCAGTCATACACGCCTTGCGCAGCGTCTTTAGCAGTGTGCCGGCGCGGCTGGAGGTATATCTTCGCCTCGGTGCCCTTCTCCGTCTCGTTCACGGGTATAGAGCGCATGAAGCGAATGTTCTCAAGTCTATACCCGCTGATGGCTGCGCTAGGCGGAAGCAGCTGACGCGCAGCTTCGATGGCCATTACGAGCATACCCGTGCCGGGATAGAGCGGCGAGCCCTCGAGAGCGTGGTCGACGATCCAAGGGGCTTCGGCGAGGCGGATCTTGTGATGCCAGGTGGGTTGGGCAGCGTTGAAGTCGTTTTCACGTAGACCCAGGAGAGCATGTCGCCGGAAGGGGCGCTGGGAGTAGAGGGCGCTGAGACGGGGTTCATCCCAGTAGAGCTTGGCCCGGGAGAAGGGGTAGGCGGGAAGATCTGTTATTCGCTTTGGCTTGGCTGTAGGCTTGAGAGTGGCTTGGTTGGGCAAGTTGAGGTCGATGGGGAGGCCAGCGCTCCACAAGGCGCCGATGGTCTCGAGGAGAGAGCGAATGTCCGGTTGGCGAGGGTTGAGCACAGCTGCGTACGACCACTTATCCTCACCTTCGCCTAGGTGCTTGAGTATGTCCTTGACGGGCCGTCGGAGAGCGGCTTGAGGGCCTATCTCGACGAAGAATTTGGGGGCTTGCTTTTTCTCGCTGACCAGCGCTGTTACCGCATCGGTAAAGAGTACTGGTGAGAGCAGGTTCTTCACCCAATAGCTCGGACTCGCAAGACCCTCCAGGGTGATAAAGCTGCCTTCGGTGGACGAGAAGAAGGCGATAGTGCTCGGCTCTTTGCCCTCCCTCGTCGGTGCGCGTATTCCAGCCAGCAAACTCTCATAATCCACCGCGCCATCGCGCAACGCCTCGGAATGGTACCCAATCTTCACAGTCAGTTTTCGTGCGAAGACCTCATCAGCATCCAGCGTGTCGAATAAGCGCGAGATAGCCACTGTGGGACCCGACAACGTGACGTTGACAGTACTGTTCTCGCATGCCACAGTCACCGTTGGTTCGGCCTTCAAATACGTCTGAACAGCCTCCTTGCCCAAGCCCACAGACATCATCGTCGTTGGCTCTCTTGCTGGGTCAGACGCCAGCTTATCGGCGACAACACCGCGGAAGTAGGCCACTCGCCATGCACTCTCGCGATCCAGTCCACCTGCACAATATGCAGCTGCAATTTCACCCGATGAATGGCCAACTACCGCACGGGGGATGACACCCCATGTGCGAAGTAGATCGATGAGCGCCACTTGAATAGCTGTACAGAGAGGTTGTGACAGCGCTGGCTTGGACACCTGACTCGCGTCCTCGTTCTTCTCGAGCTCCTCTAGCACAGACCAGGTGCTACCGAGAGTAGCAAGATACGCGTCGCAGACCTGGAGACTCTGACGAAAGACGGGATAATGCAGGAGACCGGCCGCCATACGGGAATACTGTGCGCCTTGCCCTGTGAACACGAAGGACAAGTCAGGGGCCGAGGAAGTACTGCTGAAGATGCTGGGCGAGACGATAGTGGTGAGATCGTCGGTAGGGGATGAGATGACGGCGTAAGACCGGAATTGGAGAAGAGATCGGTGAGAGGATAGGGTATGTGTTAGATTTGAGAGGAAGTTCGCGGTGGTGGGGGCTTCGTTTGAAGAGAGAAACGTCTGGAGGGCTTCTGCTTGGCGCTTCGTGCCGTCGCTGTCTGCAGCTGAGAATGGGATGATGGCGTATGGAGTTGTGAACGGGAGAACGCCGTCGCCATTACCGTTCCTGTGTCCATTTTTGTGGCCGTTGGTATGTATGGACTCTCCGACAGATTGGTGCAAACCTTGAAGGCCGTGGGTGCGCAGGTAGTTGTATGCGTCGTCGAGGATGACATGGGCGTTGCTACCTCCATAACCGAAGGAGGAGACGGAAGCCCTGCGAATTTCTGTTGCTGGCCATGGGACTGCTTCTCTTGGGAATGCGAGCTGCAGGCCAGTTACATCGATAGCAGGATTCGGCTTCTCGAACATGGCAATTGGCGGGATCACCGCATTCTCCAGCGCGAGAACGGCTTTGATGACACCGGCCATACCCGAAGCGCCCTCCAAATGACCGATGTTCGCTTTCACAGATCCCATGTAAAGCGGTCTGTCCGCCTTACGACCATCGCGGAAAGCCTGCCCTACAGCTGCCGCCTCAATAGGATCACCAACCGGCGTGCCAGTCCCATGAGCTTCAACGTAGTCGGTATCAGCAACATTGAGCCCTGCAACACGATACGTATCCCGCAGCAAATCCAGCTGTGCCTGCTGGCTCGGCTGTGTAATACTCGGCGTCCTCCCATCCTGATTCGCACCCGTCGCCCTAATGACCGCCCTGACAACGTCGCCATCCCTCAGTGCCGCATCCAGCGGCTTCAGCAAGACGAAGCCGAACCCCTCGCCCCTCGCGTAGCCATTCGCCTTGGCATCAAAACTATAGCTCTTTCCATCCACGCTCAGAAACCCGCCGTTACTGAGCGCAAGCGCCTGGCTCTCGGGCGTGATGAATGTGTTTGCGCCGCAGACAAGCGACATCTTGCTCTCTCCCGCAAGAATACTCTGCGCACCAAGATGCAGCGCGTACAACCCTGATGAACACGCCGTATCGACCGTCAAACTCGGCCCTGCGAGATCGAAGAAATGACTGATGCGGTTACTCAGCATGGACGACCCATTTGCTGTGGCATGATATCGGGACTGCGCACTAAAGTCACGACCTGTTATTGTTTCGCCGTCACGTGAAAATGAAGCGCAGTAGACAGATGTGGGGGAGCGAGAGAGTGTTTCCATAGGTATTCCTGCGTTTTCGAATGTGCGGTAGGCGCCTTCGAGGAGGCCGCGTTGTTGCGGGTCGAGGACTGAAGCTTCAGCGTAGGACATATTGAAGAAGGGGGCGTCGAAACTGCGGGGATCTTCTTCCATGAAGTGCGCATCGCGGATGCGTAGGCTGTCTAGGCGGTTTGGGTCGGGGTGGTAGAATGCTGTTAGTTCAAGTTAGCTTGGGGTCATTTTTGCTTCCGTGGAGAGAATAGTTGCATACCATCTATGTTGAAGCGGTCGGCGGGGATCTCTTTGGATACATTTCGAGCACTCAAAATCAATTTCCAAAAGGCGGAGGCGGATACGGCGTCGCCTGGGAACTTCATGTTCATGCCGATGATGGCTATGGGCGTTGTCTTGTCGGTAGTAGCCATGATTGAGGTATTTGGTATGGTACTCCAGCTTAATGAATATAAGCTTTGCCAACGTCTTGTAACCTTCTTGCCAGGTGCAGATGCTCCTAGACTTGACAACAAGGTTTGTAGAAGATTAGCTGAGATAGTCGCAAGTACAGTTCAAGTCTGGGAATTCAGAATGTACAAGCTCGTTTCGTTGAAAAGACAGTGACCAAGCTTTGCTAAATACAACAGGCGTCTCGCCGAAACCCGCTTTCATCATGGTCATGACCCATGAGTACCTTCCTTGTCTCAAAGGATCAGAGTAGCTACCATGGTGCCAGGCACATTACTGTATGTGGAGACGCTAAACCGGTCAGTACCGCATGCGATTGTACCCACCTCGGTGGCTGTTGAACCGGCCGGACTCCATGAATTGTGGCTAGGGCGTAATCCGGTGGCTAGGTATTACTCCGGTGGTTAGGCCATAGCTCGGTGACTTTACGTATGATACGAGTACGATTCAGGGACCCTTTTGACCCACAAATGCAAACACCTCACCTTCGAAGGCTCACCGCTGCCACTAAAGTCGTCCAGATAGTAACGTGTTCTGATGATGGATCACAAACAGTATCTCCGAATTCCAACACAACGCAGTCGACATGTCTTTGTGGGACCGAATCAACAGTCGCCTTACCTTCCAAAGCGGTATAGGCTTCATGTACCGCCAACTGTTCATGCATCCTCCGCCAATCGCAGCAGGAGTCACTCTTGAAGGTCAGACAGCCATTATCACCGGCGCGAATACCGGCCTGGGGTTCGAGGCAGCGCGACAGCTCCTCCAGCTAGATCTCTCTCGGCTCATTCTAGCCGTCCGATCGCAGGCCAAAGGCGACGTTGCAGCAGAAGCCCTCCACAGGGAGTTTATACGGGCTGAAGTCGAAGTCTGGATCCTAGATATGGAAGATCCCGAATCTGTCGCGGCGTTTGCCAGACGATGTCAGACTCTGGGTAGGCTGGACATGGTCGTTTTGAACGCCGGTGTGCAAAACAAGGACTATGTTGTCTCGCCCAAGACAGGCAAAGAGCAGACTTTCCAGGTCAACTACCTCTCGACTATCATGTTGGCGGTGCTTCTCCTGCCGATATTGAGAGCCAAAACCGGGTTGGTGGGAAAGCCGGCGAGGCTCACAATTGTAACGTCGACGACGGCATATTTCGCGGATTTCGACCAAAAGCAACCAATCTTGCCGCAGTTCGACGAGAAGTATGATGTTACGAAATGGTACGCGCGCGAGAAGTTGTTACAGATGATTTTCGTGAGGAGGCTGGCATCGCTGGTGAACTTCGATGAGGTGATTATCAACTCAGTTTGTCCTGGGCTGGTAGGAGAAACGGAGATCTGGCGTACATTGAACGCAAACGCTGTCATGAGGTATATGTTGATAGTGTACTTCGCTTTGTTTGGTAGAAGTTTGGCAGAAGGTGCCAGTACGTATGTTCATGCTGTAGTGGTGGCAGGCCGAGAAAGCCATGGGGGCTTCTTGAGTGAGTGGGGAGTACGTCCGTAAGTCGAGAAAGTGCAACGATGCACTCTGACCGAGGTTTTCGCTGACACTGTCGTAGTTATCCCGTTCTGATGTATTCGAAACGTGGTGACGATGTGGAAAAGAAGGTTCTGAGCGAGACCAGGCAGATTTTGGAATCCATGAACGTTTCGCACAGCGCAATGCAAGACTTTTAGTTGGGAGGGTCAGATTAAACTGCCATATCGCAGTGCTAAAGATATTGACGTCATCAAAACGCAGGCAGCTCTTTCCGCATCAAGTTTCTTACTAGTGAAGTTGTCCTGGTCGAAGACACCTCATGTAGCTGCAACCTAGCCCGTAAAATAAGTGGTAGCTGCGTTCGAAGGATTGGAGAAGGGAAATGTTGTTGTTCGCGACGCGACGGGACGCGACAGATGGCGGGACGAGATCCATGCCAAGCCCTCGGAGCCTCGGCTCCAGCCTCCGAGGTTTCTGCCTTCCGCCTGCCCATGGGCAGAGAACACCTGAGCTTCACCATCAATGCAATCTCAGCTGTTCCCACACTACATCTTTACTGCGGATCCAACCTCTCTCGTCTGAGGATAAGCCTCACGTTCAAAGGCGGTTGCACGTAAGATGCGCGTACGCGTTGATCGTGCCATGGTTGTTCAAGCCAGTCGCGGTCCACAAGCTCAATATCGTACTTCCACAGCAGCCGGGCCAATATCTGCTTTATCTCGGAATGTGCCAAACTAGTCGCGAATTCTCAGTCAGCGAAATCTTTCGTGTTGATATCGGAGACAGGACATGGCGTACTTCTGACCGATACAGTTGCGTTTTCCTGTCGAGAAGGGCTGGAATGCCGCTCTCTTATCCGCCTCGAAGCGAGGATCTCCACCCCAGCGCTCTGGGGCAAAAACTTCTGGTTCCGTGAAATTGGCTGGATTATGATACATTGCCCAGTGCCAAATGTCCACGCAGGTCTAGGTTTTCCCCATTGTAATCAGCGACGTGCTCAGAATTTCACAGAAGGATTTGCGGGAATGCTTTTGATACTTACCCCTCCAGGCAGAAAGTGGCCCCCGACGACCTCGCCATTGCGCTGAATCAGTCGTGGCACTGAGCCTACGGCAGCCGGATGAATACGCAAGGTCTCGTCTATGACAGCCGAGAGGTATCTGAGACGCTGCGCACTGAGGAGTGTGATCTGTTCGTCGCTCTCGAAAGATGCGTCGATCTCTTTCCTTAGCTTAGCGAGCGTCTCAGGGTGGGTGCAGAGGAGATAAGTTGCCCCAGCAAGTCTGACTCAAGAGATGGTCAGTACATCGATACTTCCAAATGAAATGGAAATAAGAGGAAAGGTTCGTCATACGCAACTGCAGTTGTTTCGGACCCGGCTACGACGAAGATGCTCGCGTTATGGCAGATTGCTTCGAAGGAAAGGCCCTATTGCCCAGCCGTTAGATCCATGAGCGGGGTTGGAACCAAGAGAGCACTGTGGATGCACTCACGCATCTTTCCTGGGCATTGTCGGATTTCATCTCTTCAATGAAGTCCGGCCGGCTGGGCTCCAAGGCTAAACGCTTCGCAACTTGAGTACGCATGAACAGATTATGCTTCGCAATGATCTTCTTGGCAAACATCCTAACAAACGGGCTTATCATCGCCTCCAACAACGGATACGCCCGCCGGAAGTGTGCCATGTCATGCTGCGCAACGAAGAACTCCAATATTGTCGCAACCCATGGATGAAACTCCCTCCGCTCCATATTCGCAAAAGGCTCGCCGAAGCTGAGATCGCCAATGACATCAAACGAGAAGAAGTTGAACCACTTGGCTAGGTCCAGGGGTTGACCTTCGGCGCAGTGCTCTCCAAAACAGCTGAAGAGTTGGTCGATATGGTGGCGGATGATATGCTCCTGGCGCTGTATGCCTTGCCCAGAGAACGCGGGCGCTAGCAGACGACGTTGATGCGTGTGAGATTCTGTGTCGGCCCCGATGATGCCTGAGGCGACTTCGGCTACGAAGCCTGGGTGCTTGAGGTTCTCTGGCTGACCGGGCTTACGATGCCCGTACACTTCTTTCCATGCTGTTGCGTGGAGGCATGACACTGAGTCTGGGCTTGTGCGGACAACGTCGCCGTACCTCTTGTGCAAGGCCAGGATCTGTTTGTGCGGCGTGCTCGACCATGACATCAACAGGAGTGGGAGTGGCGATACAGACCACAGGAACGGGCCGGGCACTTTCCTAAGTGGGTTAAAGTAGAGATTGTATACAACGGACCATACGGTATGCCCAAAGACCTGTAGCGTACGTCAGTGGAGGTATCCTACGTGTCATTCCTCCGGGGTTAATACGGCGCATAGGGCTACTTCTAACGATACCCAGAATGAGAGGAGCTCCTGATGCTCAGTGAGTGCATCAAGAGGCCATGTATAAGCGGAGCCCATTGTGCGCAAAATGAAGAAAGCTTGTTGTCGAAGCTCTTTAGCAGTGTATACGAATACAAAATACGGGTTGTGGCAGCATCCCATGCACTGGAGAAGATGATTGCCGAGTTCGATAGCTCAACACGCGCAGTTGCGAAGTCAACTATGGAAGACGATTGCACCGAGCCTTACATTGCATGCCGTCTCAATGCTTCCCATAGCGGCTAAGTCATGGTCTTCAGCCAGGATCATGCATCTGCGGCGGAGTAGTGCAATGTTCCCACCCACGCTTCGTGGGCCCTTCGACTCAGTGCCGACTACAGATATCCGGTCGCCGTTGTTGCACGTCAGTCAGCACCTAGGGTACCCACAGAGGAGCCGACGCGGCCGACGGACGAGTTGGTCACAGAATCCAGATCAACCATGGCGGTGTGAGGCTAGGGCCGAGGAACGTTCCGATAACAGCAACTAGCAGTTTATGTACGATGATACACGCTCGGTAGATTTCTAGTTGCATTCTACGGCTAGAGTGACAGAGGCGTAGGGAACGGCCCGAGCATGTCCCGAGGTCTGCAGTTTGCACTAGTACGCTTTGGGATTTCGGTCTCTGTGCGCACGGACGCGACACCCTCCAGCTAGATCGGCGGTGGCTGGGGTATCATCTCAACCACCGCCGACTCTGTCTTTCCATGCCTCACCACCGACGCGATCATCAGCCCCGCCTTCGCAGCAAGCTCGGCAAACGCCTTCTCACTGCGCACCTTTCCGCCGATGTTCAAGATGAACATGTCGACGGTGCTAGTGTATACACTTGGCTGTTCAGGGCGCAGATACTCAGCAATCAACACGCGCGAGTCGTCCGCGCAAGCCGCGCGCACGTTCTTCAGAATCTGAAGAGCTTCGTGGTCGGACCAGTCGTTCAGGACGCGACGTATGTAATACACGAGAGCACCTAGAGTGGTCCGTCAGCTTGTTTCCTGGCGCAAGTATCGTGTATCCTGAGAGGATAGAACTCGATTTCCGTACCTTTGGTGGGCTGTTCCCCAAAGATGCTGTGCCCAATCTTCTTCACCGGACCCAAAACAGCAGAATCTTTGTGCTCTTCCTCCGCCTCTGCGATGACATGCGGCTGATCCTGCAGGACACACCTGGCGGCAGGAATGGCAGGCGTCTCCTCCAAGATAGCCTTCAACGCCTGACCTTTCCCTCCGGCAACATCAACGATCAGCTCCCTCTCTGAACCAACGTTTTCCGCAGCAAATGCAGCTACCCAGCCAAAATCATACACCCCCGTGACAGGAATATCACCGTCAATGGCCATCGCCCCATTCATCCTTGTGGCCAACCCCGGGATCGCCGCCATGATTTCATAGGCTGTCTTATCGGGCATGCCCAGCGCAAATCCTCCCGGCGAACGATTCGATCTAGCCGGCTCAGCGAGCCCGTTCGCCTCGAAGTAGTCTGTCCACCGCGTCGTTGGCCCCATAAAGAAGTCGAAGAGGTACGAATAGAATTGCGCGACGCGGGGGTCAGTGAATGCTTTTGACGCCGGTGTATGCGCCACACGGCCAGGTTCCGGGCTAGTCAGCATGCCAATAGCGAGAAAGAAGGCCGTGAAGCGCTCCAGAAGTTTGTACTCTATGCTGAGCTTTTCCGTAAGGTCTTTGAGGGAGATTCCCTCTTCTGGAATGGCGTCGAAGATGCCGTGCTCAACAAAGACGCGCAAAACGCCCATCTCCGCCATGGATGCGAAGTATTTGCCGATTGGCGTCTCGGCCAGAGAGAATTCGGAAGCCATGTTTGGATACTGGATGAATGAGAAGCAACACTGAACGGAACGCGATGGTTGGTCACCAGAATCTACGATTGTGCGAAGACGTCGAATAAAGCTACAGAGCCAAGAGATCGTGCACGATAAGCAAGAGTCCTGGTCCTGCGAATTAGGTTTGTGTGGAATGCCTGTACTGGTAACGCCTCATTCCCGTCATGCGAGTGACCGCACTCGACATTACAGTAGCCCAGCTAGGTTTCCTGGCGTCGTACCAAAATGAAGCACGAATCAGAAGCCCATGAGATTAACCATAGGAATTCTACCGAGCTCTCGACTATACATGGGCCCGTGCCTAAAGCAGCCGAAAAGGCCCTTCTTCGTACCGGCAGTACCCGTTCTAGCTCGATTCACCGCAACAAGTCTCCCACGTGTTCTCGACACGTATCAGAACTCCTGCATCCCGTCGTGTCTACCTGGGAAGAATTGTAGCGGTCTAGAGGGTTGAGACGTAACCGATGTCACTTGGCAAGATCTCGTCCGACTGGCACCGCTGCCTTACGACAAAATTGGCACAAGCAAGCAACTGACGATACTGGAACGTCAATCTGGCGTCCACCTTCAATACACATTTTGATCGAGTGTTGACATCTAGTACGCGATCATCGAACTACTGGTGACAGCACTCGTCTTCCCAAACGCGTCTCTCACAAGCTCCTGTACCCAATTCGGCAACCCTTTCAACCATGAGATAGGCGCCGCAATACTAGGAATGAACAACTGAGCACCACGCCTGCTAATGATCTGCCTCACTATGACCTCAGAAACTTCCTCTGGCATCAACATCTTCTCAAGAATCTTTGGGTCTTGGCCACTTCTCAAGATCATCTCTTCAATCAAGGGTGTGCGGACCCAACTCGGATGCGCAATCGTAGTCTTGACACCCGACGCTTTGTACCAGATTTTCAGCTCGCTCGTAAGGCCCTCATGGAACGCCAAAGCCGCAGTCTTGGTTGCC